GATGTTTCCCCAAATCATCACATAGAAATTTGACTCATTCTTTTCAACAGCTGTATAGGATTTCAGGTACTCATACTATTATTTATTTAATTAGAGCTACATAAATAAACACTTAGAATTACCATTTTTTGCTCTTATAAAAAGTGTTGCAGTGACCATTCTTATACAAAAATTTTGCATGCTTATTTGGATATGGATATCTAAGTTATCTACATAAATTTTCCAATTTTCTGATAAAAGTGATGTTTAGATTTGCACTTCTTCCATTTTGTATTTGCTTATTGGCTCTGTTTTCCTGTGAACATGCTCTTTGCTCCGTTTTTTCTGTTAGATTGCTGTTTTCATATTGATTTTTCAGTTATCTGTAAATTAAGGAAATTAACCCTGATATGTGTTGAAGTTTTTTTTTTTAAGTCCTTTGTCTTTTTATTTTACAGTATATTTTTGGCTTGTAGAAACTGGATATCATTTTTGGCTGTCAGAATGATTGATCCTTTATAGGTTCTTGGATTTATATTCTTCTACATGTATCCCAGTGGCCTTCTTGTAGTTTATACATTTGTGACTTTTTTCATTAAATTTTTTCCATATTTTAAAAGTTTTAATATATAAGTACATAGTCATTATAAGAAATGTTTAAAAATTGACAAAATGAATGTCTGTCCCCCAAATTATATTCTCTCCCCCAGAGCTAACCACTCATTAAGTTTGATGTATTTTCTTCCAGTCCTTTTATATGCATCATACTTTAGTTTAAAAAAATAGACAACTGTTCCACCATTTCTGAATAGTTATGGTTTAAGATGGCACCTTTATCATATTCTAAATTCTAAATAGTCCATGGTTTAAAATAGCACCATTTTAGAAACATAGCTGAAGATTTTCGCTCTGATTTTTACTAAGAAATTTCAGACAGTAAACTAGGAAATTTTTCAGAGTGACAATATGTATAAAATCAAACCTTTGGATATATAATCTCTCACAGAAAACTATATTTCAGATTATTACACCTGTGTCATATGTACAACACAGTAGTCCTTTGAAGTCATGTTTTCTGGAATAAATGACTTTAATTTTCTTGTCCATAAATAACAAATAAGTAATTCTTGCTTAAAAGATTCAAATAACAAAGGAACATATATGATTCCATTTATATGGATTGTTTGTAATAGGCAAATTCATGGAGACAGAAAGCAGGTTAGTGGTTAACTAGGGCTGGGAGGAAGAGAGGGAAGTGAGGAGTGATTGCTAATGGGTATGGGTCTTGTTTTGGAGTGATGAAATGTTCTAAAATTGTGGTGATGGTTGCACAGTTCTGTGAATACACTAAATATTGAACAGCACACTTTCAGTGTCTGAACTGTATAGTATGTGATTTATCTCAAAGAAATTGTTATAAAAAATCTAAGACATGTATATAGATATAACAATAGTAAATATTTGAAGAATAACTTTTATAAATATTCTAAAAATAAATAAAACAGCGCCTTTACACATTCTACATTCTGCTAAAATCATGGGGTCAGTTTGTTAGCATTCTTTTCTGATCCATTGCTCTAGTTGACTATTTCTGTGTGTGGCCTCATTTAAAAAAATCACTCATACATCTAGAATTTGTTTTGGTATAAGGAATGAGGGTAAGGAGTCAGCTTTCCCCAATACAATTTATGGAATAACTTGTCTTCCCCCCCAGTGATTTGATGTGCTGTCCTCAACCTATAAATTTCTATAATGGACGTCATCATCACTGACCTATTGAAGGAGCATTTTGACTAGGCTCCCTATGTTGACCTTAGCTTCTTTACTGTCAGTTTTCCATAGTGCGACCAAGGTGATCTTTTAAAAACACACAGGCATTAAACCTTATGGACTTCACGTTGATCTTTGGATGAAGCCCTAATCTTGAACATCGCCTGGAAAGCTGTGTGTGGCCTGGCCCATTGACCTCTCTGGTCTCATTTCAGACCACTCTTCTTGTTGTCTGGATTGCTGTCTGAATTCCAGCACGTCGCGGCTTTCTTTCAGTTCCTTCATCAGGTTATACTCTTACTCACTGCAGGGTCTTGCACTGCTCTTTACTTTGTGTCTAGAATGCCTCCAGCCCTAGATCCCCATACCTTCCACTTCCACCTTACCCTATTGTATTCCAGTGCATCCTTCCACTTTCAACTCAGCATTAACTTCTTTAGTAAAATCTTCCTAACTCCCTAGATAAGTTTAGAACTTGTATATACTCTATAGGCACCTTTTATCTTTTTTTTTTTAAGTAACAGCTTTTTTGAGATATTCACATACCACACAGTGCAGCGTTTACAGTGGTTTTTAGTACATTCATGGAGTGTGTGACCATCATCACCATAATCAATTTTAGAACATTTTCTTCACTCGAGAGGAAAGCCTGTACCCATTAAGCAGTCACTCCCCATTTCTCCTCAAGCCCCTCAGTCCTGGACAACCACAATAATTTTTCTTTTATTGTGATAAAGCATACATAAATTTCACCTTTTTAACCATTTTTTAAAGTCTGTAATTTAGTGGCATTACATTCACAGCATTGTACAACTATCTCCACTATCTGTTTCTAAAACTTTATCACGCCAAACTCTTAAGTTATTACTTATTAAGCAAAATAACTCCCCATTCTGCTCTCCTCCAGGTCCCGGCAACCACAGTTCTACTTTGTCTATATGAATTTGCCTATTCGAGATATTTCATCTAAGTGGGATCATATGAGTCCTTTTGTGTCTACTTATTTCACTTAGCATAATGTTTTCAAGGCTCATCTGTGTATCAGAACTTCATTAATTTTTATGACTGAATAATATTCCATTGTATGTATATACTGCATTTTGTTTATCCATTCATCAGTTAATGGACATGTGAGTTGTTGCTACTTTTTGGCTGTTGTGAATAATGCTGTTATGAACACTTAGCATACAAGTATCTGTTTGAGTCCCTGTTTTCAAATCTTTGGAGATAAATACCCAGAAGTGGAATTGTTGGGTCATTGATAATTCTTATGCTTAACTTCAGGACCCATCAAACTGTTTTCCTGAAAGGCCATTTAGGAGGTTTCTAATTTCTCCACATTATTTATTTCCTTTTTAAAAATTAAAGTCAAAAATAAATAAATAAATAAAATTAAAGTCACCCTAATAGGTGTGAAGTGATATCTCATTGTGTTTTGTTTTGTCTTAAATTATTTATTTATGGCTGTGTTGGGTCTTCGTTGGCTGTCCGCGGGCTTTCTCTGGTTGCGGCGAGTGGGGGCTACTACTGTTCGTCGCAGTGCGCGGGCTTCTCATTGCGGTGGCTTCTCTTGTTGCAGAGCACGGGCTCTAGGTGTGCGGGCTTCAGTAGTTGTGGTGCATGAGCTCAGTAGTTGGGGCTCGCGGGCTGTAGAGCGCAGGCTCAGTAGTTGTGGCACACGGGCTTACTTGCTCCGTGGCATGTGGGATCTTCCTGGACCAGGGCTCGAACCCGTGTCCCCTGCATTGGCAGGTGGATTCTCAACCACTGCACCACCAGGGAAGCCCCCTTTGTCCATTTTTAAATTGAGTTGCTTTTGTTATTGAGTTAGAGGGGTTCTTTATGTAGTCTGGACATTAAGTCATTGTCAGATATATGATTTGCAAATATTTTCTCTCATTCTTTGTGTTGTTTTCTCCAGTCTTTTGATCCATTTATCTTTTATAACATTTACAAGTTTGCATTTATAATTTTTAAAATATTTAGATTAATATCTGTCTCCACTATTAGAATGTGAACACCCTTAGGGTAAGGACTGTATCAGTTTTTGCTCACTTTTATATTGGTAATGCCTAGCACAGGTGCTAAATATTTTTGAATGAATGAAGGTCTTTTAAGTTAATTTACGAGTTCCATTGATTGCCTATTTCATCTTAAATATCTGTAGTACTCCATCTTGTTACTCTTGTTTTTCAAAATCTTCCCAGCTGTTTCCTGGCTTTTATCATGTTCATTCATGTAAATTTATGCCCCTCCTGCCCCCCACATTGGTATCATTTTAGATAACTCATTTTTTTCTTTTAGAGGGCTTTCTTGGTAGGATAAAGGCTGCAAAGTTGCCATAGTCAGCTTAGGCTGTTATAGTAAAATAACACAGACTGAGTGGCCTAAACCAGCGGTCCCCAACCGTTTTGCACCAGGGACCAACTTCATGGAAGATAATTTTTCCACGGGGGGGTGGGGAGGGATGGTTCAGGTGGTAATGTGAGCCATGGGGAGCGGCAGATGAAGCTTAGCTCACTCACCGGCCACTCACCTCCTGCCATGTGGCCTGGTTCCTAACGGGGCGTGTACCAATAGCCGTCTGCAGCCCGGGGGTTGGGGACCTCTGGCTTAACCAACAAACATTTATTTCTCACAGTTCTGGATTCTGGGAGACCCGTGATCAAGGTGTTGGCAGATTCAGTGTCTGGTGAGGAATCTCTTCCTGCTTTGTAGATGGATGCCTTCTTGCTGTATCTTCACATGTTGAAGAGAGAGAGATATCAGTCGCTTCTTTAAGGGCACTAATCTCATTTATAAGGGCTCCACTCTCATGACCTCATTACCTCCCAAAGGCCCTACCTCCAAATACCATCCCCTTGGGGATTAAGGCTTCAACATACGAATTTTAGTGGGGACACATTCAGTCCATAGCAGTACTGGGGCTAACAAAGTTTAAGGATTTGGTAATTAAGCAGAGTAGGGCTCTAGTATCATCAGCTTCACAGATGGGGCCAGTATAGAGTATCTGAAGACATTTGCATTTACAGGAAATCAGTTTGATGGTAAAGTGGTAGCCAATCATTTGTATAGATTCATAATTCATATAAGATTAGTAATAAATTCATAGATTTAAGTCATTAATAAATATGAACTATACTTAGTTTAAGAAAACTATTATGAATCTATACATATATGAATTCTTCATAGTTCAAGAGAAACAGTAATTCTGAATAGTAAGTCTTATGATATTTTTTCCTTCCTCCTAGATTTAAACAGTCAAGTTAAATCAAGCTGGGTAATCATGGCAGAAGGTGGATTCGATCCCTGTGAATGTGTTTGCTCTCATGAACATGCGATGAGAAGGCTGATCAATCTGGTGAGATGAACAGGACTGTCCTATTCAGAACTGAACTGTACCGCTCTGTCTTGTTTTTGGGAGCATGTTGTTTATTGGAAGATTTTCATCTGATGGCACTAAAAATTATTTCATAATTGAAATTCTACAGTGGTTTAAGTCATAATGGTTAAAATGCTTGCCAGCAGTTCTTTTATTAGAGATAAAAACAGATTGCTGTCTTTATTTATGGTAGATTTTTGTTGGCGAAATTCACCATCATGGGTGGGAAACACATTTGTGTAGAGGCTTTCTGTTCTGTATTTTTTTTGTTGGCCACACCATGTGGTACGTGGGATTTTAGTTCCCTGACCAGGGATCGAACCGACGCTCCCTGCATTGAAGCGTGGAGTCTTAACCACTGGGCCGCCAGGGAAGTCCTCTGTTCTGTATTAATGCATATAATTTTTGGCTATACGGAGCTTGTTTACCTGATAAACTGCTATGAAGTCACACTTCCTCTTATGATATAGTTCAAATCCTACTCCAACAAATGGCATGACAATAAAAATCTCTATATAGTTTATTTCCAGATCCAGATCAATTATTTGACAGAGGCAGATTTCTGAACAACAGGCTTTGAGTGTAGTGAGATTTCAACTGTAGGTTTTTATAGATTTTTAAAGCTTAAATACAGGGCTATTTATGTACCGTACTTTATACTTTTTATATACAAAGGAAAAATTTGACCATTATTAACAGTAAAGTACAATTGACCCTTGAACAGCATAGGTTTGAACTCTCAGGGTCCACTTACATGCGGATTTTTTTTCAATAGTAAATACTGCAGTACTACACCATCTGCAGTTGGTTGAATCCAAGGATGTAGAACTGCATATTTGGAGGAATTGCGTTTACTGAAGGCTGACTATAAGTTACATGTGGATTTTCAACTATGGCGGGTTAGCATCCCTAACCCCTTCGCTGTTCAAGGGTCAACTGTGTATTATTATTATGTTATACATTATAACAACATTTTGCTGTTTTAAAATACTCTTGTACCAGGGTATATTATTATAGGCCAGTTAATAAAGGCAGGTACAAACATTTGCTGGAATACTTGAATAAGCAAGTTTTCTGCTCACTCATTGTCTGTGTATAGTGATCAGAAGTACATTGATTGTGAATGATGTTCCTTTGAGAATTAGCATATACTAGGACTTACGATCCTTAAGAATGCCTTAGAGGGATAGAAATAAACTAAGAACTTATAAATTAAATCAGACTCTTGTGAGTATAGAAATAAAATGGCAATGTCATATCTGGTAATTGATGTAAAAATAGATTAATCTGAGAAGAGTTTAAAAAATATTTTCTCCTGTTTATTTATGAAGGTGGAGCTGATAGTTTTTAATGTCTTATTTCAATCAAACATAAGGCAAATTTTTTTCAAATTACTCTGATATTAGGAACAAAAAATAGACTTGTAATTTAATTGTGGTAAAATTTCCCAGTAGATTAGTTTTTAATAAGGGCTATTATCTCTTATTTCTTAGTATAGTTTTTTTTTTTTTAACATGCTTTATTCTATTAGCTCTGCTGCTTTTTAAGAGATGACTAAAACTAAGCCCTACTTTTATAGGATTCCCTGTACACTTAACTTTACTTTAGTAGATTGTCAAGGAAGCCATGTTTAGCTTTTTTTTCTTTTTTTAATGGGCACATTAATTCATGCATGATGGGACGTTACTTATAGCATTCTTGGTTTGAAATACTTCATAATTATGTGAAAATAGATTTTAGATTTTTACAGATCTTTTAAAAGTCCACATTTTTTAGTGTATGATGGATATTTTCACGCAATATAAATTACTGATGGATGATCCCCTTATGTATAACATGCTGATAGCAGTATTGAAGATTCCAGAGGGAGGAGAAACTCATTTGATTCATTAAGGAAACTTGCTGGCAAAGTTTGATAGATGTTTGTTTGAATTGAATTGTGCTTTTAAATTTTTATTTCATGTGTATTTCTTCTTCTTTTATTTAAATTCAGAATCAAGCAGCATTTTTGGATCATATCTACATTGTTGATATTTAAGTGGTTTCTAAACATTTTTCCTAAGAAGTATCATCAGAAATATGGTCTCTAAATTCCGAAATTCAAAGATTTATGAATAATACTATTTATTGTAGCATTATTTATAGTAATAAAAAGTTATAAGCAACCTTAATGTTGACTAGTAGGACAGGGGTTATATCATGGAAATTCATATGGTAAAATCTTGTTTAAAATAATTGTCTTTGAAAAATATTTTAAAACAAGGGAGATGTGTGTGTTATATGAAATGAAAAAAAAGATGTACAAATGGCGTTTAGTAGATCTTGCGTTTGTGTACACATACACATACACCCACACACCCACCCATTTCATATACATGTGTGCATAGGAAGAAAGACTAGAAGAGAGTACACCGAAATGTTAAAAGTGGTTATCTCTGGATTCTGGAATATGGGCTGAGACTTCTCTTTTATACTTTCTTGTATTTTCTGTGATAATAAATCTTATAATCAGAAAAAGGTTATCTAACAAAAACTATCAATATTTTCATTTAAACGTCGTTGTATTCTTTTGTAATATATCAATACTAGGCTTTTCTACCTCTCATGCATCCATTATCTTCTGCTCATACTTTATAGGACCTTTTTTCCCCCAGTATCTGTTATCTTATTACCCTATGGAACTCTAAGTCTACAGCCTATATTTTATTTTATTTTATTTATTTATATAAATTTATTTATTTTGGGCTGCGTTGGGTGTTTGTTGCTGCGTGCGGGCTTTTCTAGTTGCTGTAAGCGGGGGCTACTCTTTGTTGCGGTGCGCAGCCTTCTCATTACAGTGGCTTCTCTTGTTGCGGAGCACGGGTTCTAGGTGCACGGGCTTCAGTAGTTGTAGCACGCAGGCTCAGTAGTTGTGGCTCACGGGCTCTAGAGCACAGGCTCAGTAGTTGTGGCACATGGGCTTAGTTGCTCTGCAGCATGTGGGATCTTCCTGGACCAGGGCTCAAACCCGTGTCCCCTGCATTGGCAGGCGGATTCTTAACCACTGCACCACCAGGGAAGCCCCAGCCTATGTTTTAAAAGCAATTTATCTGAGGGTATAATTTTTCTATATTAGTTATAACTACCAGAATTTAGATGTCTGCATGCTTGGGAAGCTCATAGATACAATAATACTGTGTTGTAGTATGATAACAGTGCAGAGATTTATTCTCATTTTTTAAAAAATGGACATCTAATTCATCTTTGTAATAGCATACCATGTCATTAATTTCAAGTTCTAATTTGGAATTTGTATTATTTTTGACCTTATGTAATAAAATTGAATTTTCTTGTGTATGATGGATATTTTCACACAGTATAACTTACTGGTGGATGATCCCCTTATGTATAACATGCTGATAGCAGTATTGAAGATTCCAGAGGGAAGAGAAACTCATTTGGGGAAACTTGAGGATTTTAATGATTTTTTTATGGTTAGCTCATTAGTTGTATGTTGGGTTGCAGTTTTCTTTTGCCTGTTCTGTGGAAATAGATGGGCTTTGCCAAGGGATATATTCAACTTAGAAGCAGTTAAGATTTTACCATTAGTTCCTTTCCATTTTAATAAAGTTCTGTTCATTCACAATTTAAAACTAATTTATTTTCCTGATTTAGTAATGATTTCAGTTAAGGTTCTTCACTGTAAGTAATAGAAGTTTTAGGTGATTTAAGCAGAAAAGGACATATTAAAAAAATATTATGTGGCTCACACTGGATAACCTGGCATGGAAAATGAATAGGATCAAAGGGAATGTAAATGCCAGAACGAACCCATGCTCCAAAACAGCCCAGCCAAAAAGCGGCTGCTCCTAAATTCCAGACTTTTGTGTATCCAACTGTTGATGCAACATCTCCATTTGGACAAATAGTAGACATTTTGTACTTGATGTGTGCATAACTGAACTTTTCTTGTCCCCAACCTTATACTTCTGTCTTCTCTATTTTTTTTTTTTTTTTCTTTTGGCCATGCCATGAGGCTTAGTTCCCCGACCAGGGATTGAACCCGGGCCACGGCAGTGAAAGCACCGAGTCCTAATCACTGGACTGCCAGGGAGTTCCCTGTCTTCTCTATTCACTCCATTATTCTGGTTGCTCAGGCAACAGCTTTTGTGTCATCTTTTACTCTGTTCTTGCAACCCCATGGCTAATGCAGAACCAAATCCCTTTGGCTCAACCTTAAAAGTATATATCCAGAATCCAGCCATTTCTCACACCTCCAGTGAAACACCCTGGTTTAACCTACCATCATCTCTTGCCTAGGTTATTGAAATTAGCCTGCTTGTTGGTTTTCCTGCTTCCACCCTCTTGCCATCTCCATTTTCTTCAACCTTAGTCTCACTACAGGAGTTGAAATGATCTATTTCCGATAAGTCAGGTAATGTTCCTCCTTTCCTCAAAATTCTGCAATAGTTCCCCATGACACTCATAGTGAAAAAAAAAACAACAAAATTTATGTGGCCCTATGTGATCTGTCCCCCTTCACTCCACTGGTTTCCGTTTGCTCACTTTGTTCTACCGTTTCTGGCTGCCTTGCCATTCCTGAAAATACAGGTCACATACAAAGGATCAAGTGTCTAAATGGCTTTAGACTTTTCAACAGCAAAACTGGAAGGCATTAACACAGTGACTTTAAATTCTGAATGGAAATTATTACCAATCCATCATTCTATATCCAACCAAACTATCAAATAGGAGGAGAGTCTTCAAAATTTTTACCTCATGTACCTTTTCTTAGCTGGTTACTAGAGGATGAACTGTTTTTCACCAAGATGTAGGCATAAACCAAGAAAGAAGAGATTTCGAGTGTAGAAAGCAGTAGATCCAGCATATGAGAGAGGCAAAAGTAATTTCCAAGGTGATGGTGAATGGAGATCCCAGGATAATGATAAAGGGACATTCCAGGGTTATAGCTACCCACATGCTTTCTTGATAAAGGAAAC